GCTCCTCATGCAGCCAGCCTCTCATTACTCTATTGTGAGGTTGGGGAAAAGCCAAAGGCCAAAGCAGGGCAGCAATATGCCCCAAATCATACAGCTACTTGACGGCAGAGTCCATTGAAGGAAGGAATCCAGGGAGCAGGCCCAGATGCTCCCCCAAGGGGTCAGTGCCAGAGAGTATTTAAGAGCTTTGACTGTCATAGCCCTCTTAAAAGGGCCCATATTGATGGGCCTGTCCACTTGTGAATAATTAACGAGCCGGGGCCTGTAACCTGCTGGGTGGAGCCTTATAGTCACCAGTTCAGCCAGGTTGAGAGGGTTCTGGAGAAACTGCAAGGGTAGGCAGGAACATTTCATGCCGGGTCAAGGCCTGGAAGAAGTAACTGAGTCAGGCCAGGGCCAAGGGGTTAACTCACACAAGGCCTAGTTACTGTGGTTTTGCAGAGGAGAAGACTGAGATTCACAGAGGTGAGACGGAGCTGGCTTCCCAGCTTAAAGCTCTTTCTATGACAAGGGCATTACTCGTCACAGGCTTGCACACCTCAATTCCGTAATCCTCCAGTTTCAAACACCTCTTCTTCCCACCCTTCCTCTTCCCTTTCCCTGAGGATAAGATATCAAGTTATGGATTGAAGTTATGATTAGACCTTGGCCTAAATGATAAGAATCAGGTTATTGGATTCAAGCTAGACCTTGGTCCCTTACATTAGGGCCAAGCCTCCGTTTTCTCATCTGTAGGATGGGAGGTAATGCTACTTCAGACTTTCTGGGACATTCTGAGGAAGTTCACTCCACAAATATGGATTGAGGGCCATGTTAAGATGAGTGAAGACATGGATGAAAGCAGCCCACATGGTCATCTGGGCTACCAGGAGGTATGGTAATCCTGATGATTTGTTCCTGCAGATTGAGGAGAAAATGGGGCAGAAAAGCAGGCCTGGCATCTCTAGGGTTTTCCAGGCCAGAAATCAGGCTCCCTGACAGAGGAGGAAGGGAGCAGGATGCAGGATGCTCTCCCAGCCCCTGGCACCCAGTTTCTCTGGGGTGAGCAGGCAATCCAGGCAGGGTCACCTGTGCTGGGAAGCAGAAACAATGCTGGTGACTCAGGTTGTCCTGGGTTGGGGAATCATCCTCCATGAGCAACAGTTACCAAATGGTGGACTAGTGCAATGCCCTGACTCACCGGAGTATTCCAGGTCTAAGTGCAGCTCTGCTGCTGGCCTCGGTCAGGTCATGTTCATCTGTAAAATGAGGAGAACAGCATCCTCATCAGGCCCACACTCTCTATTCTGGGCATTCTACCTATGTGTATGTAAGGACTCTTAATTACTACCATAGCCCTTTAAAGTAGGCAGTGTTACTAGTTCCATTTTGCTGATGGGGAAACTGAGGCCTAGAGAGATACTTAAAAGTAAAAATTAGGGGCTGGGAAGGTGGGTAAGTGGTAGAGTGCTTGCCTTGCATGCAAGAGGCCCTGGGTTCGATTCCTCAACACTACATAAGCAGAAAAAGCCAGAAATGGCACTGTGGCTCAAGTGGTAGAGTGTTAACTTTGAGCTGAAGAACTGAGGGATAGTGCCCAAACCAGAGTTCAGGCACCACAACTGACAAAAAAAGTAAAAAAGTAAACTAAGCACTGTGGCTCTCTCTTTTAATCCTAGCTACTTAGGAGGCTGAGATCTCAGGATTGTCATTTAAAGCCAGGCCAGGCAGATATCTGAGACGCTTAGTTCCAATTAACCAACAAAAAGCCAGAAGTAATAGAATGCCAGCTGTGAGTAAAGAAGCCAGGTAAGAGTGCAAGGCCCTGAGTTCAAACCCTCAGAATCGAAGCTTGCATGTGTACATAGGCATATGTGTATGCATGCACGCACATGTGCACACACATACACACATGACAATTTTATAAAATAATTCATGTTATACACTTAATACTGTGTAAGGCTTTTAAGAAGCTTTTGTTATGTGTTGGCCATTGTTTAATAATTATCTCAGAAGGTAAAGTGCTGGGCTCCATGTTTATGTCAGACGCTGAGTTATAGAGATGAATGTGACTGGCCCTGTAGTCAATAAAGTTCCACCCAGTCTGATGTCAGAAACAGCCAGAGTCACATGCAAACTTTCTTCCAGCCCCCACCCCAAACATGTACCTCATTCACAGTGACAACCCAGAGAGTTAGGACAAGTCAAAGAGAATTAGGGCAGTAGGTACTAAGAAGCCCCAGATCCAACAAGGTATTTCCCAGAAGAGGTTGCATCTGAACTATGGAGCAAGAAGGAGTTTGGGCTCAGGAGGTCCCTGGCTATTTTTTATTTTTATTTTTGTCAGTTGTAGATCTTGAACCTAGAGCCTGAGCACTGTCCCTGAGCTTTTGTGGCCAAGACTAGCGCTCTACCACTTTGAGCCACAGCTCCACTTCTGGCTTTCTGGTGATTAATGGGCAATACAGAGTCTCACGGACTTTGCTGCCTGGGCAGGCTTCAAACCTTAGATCTCAGCCTTCTGAGTAGCTAGGATTATAGGAGCTGTAAGCCACCAAGCGCCAGCCTTGACCTTGGTAGTTTTATCTTAGCAAATTTATATTCTCTTTAGGAAAGAGGCTTTGCAGTGGTAGCTTCTGAGTCCATTTACTCCATGAATGAACATTCTTTGAAGGAATGTCTGTTCTAAGGGAAAGCAACAGTGTTAGCGAAATGAGTTTCCTTCCCATAGTTTAGTCCACTCCTTCCCCGCCCCACAGCTTAGCATGCTCCCTTCCTAGGCAACACTGGGCCCATATAGTAAAGGCAGCAAATAATCAGCCCTCCACCCCCTTTGTCTTGGGATGGCACTGCTCTGGGGTAGCTACCACCACATAAGGCAACAAGAGCCCCTTAGAGTGACCTTCATGTCTGGGCAGTTGCAGAACCCCTTATCTACTACTTGGACAGCAGCCATAAATCCTAGTCCACCATGATGAAGCCCCTGGCCCACAACTGGGTCTCTCCCTCCTAGCCCCTTCTAGCCATCCTAGACCTCCTAGGTTATACAGGTCACCCCAGACAATAGCCAGTGCTTCTTCTCATTTCTCCCTTGTGAGAAGGGGTCTTGAAGACCCCTTTTCTGGCAATAAACCTTCCTTTGTTCTCTGTACCTGGATGGCTGCGTGGTTCTCCAGCAAAGTCTAATTTACCCTATCGACGAACAGTATGGGCAAATGCCTCAGGCCTGTCTCTTTCCTAGAACTCTTTATACACACTGCTGGGTCCTCCAGCCTTACAGATGCCAAGCGGCCACCAGTGTGCCCTTGCCTGCCCCCCCCCCATGCTTTTGCCCATTTATTCCATCTAGTAAATTTCATCAACAATACAAACTTTCAGGGCTCAGCAATATGCCTACCTCCTCCAGGAGGCATCTGGATCCCTCATTGTCCTTGGTAGATGTCATTGTGGCCTGCTTCTTGTAGCTTCTTGTGTGTGTGTGTGTGTGTGTGTGTGTGTGTGTGTGTGTGTGTCTGTGTGTGTGCCTACATGAGGCTCCCAGAGGTGGGATGACTCTAGCAAGTGAGCATCTGGCTGCTGCTCACATATGGGCGGCAAATCAATTGCCTTTCCAGGCAGCCGATCTGGATGTGAGCAATAATCCCTAAAGCTTTTCCAACTCCCACTACCAAGCCCAACCTGCCTGGCTTCCCTGGGATCTGGTCCAAGTCCTCTTCCTACCAAGGCTGCTCCTGCAGGCTGCCCCCAGCCTATTTCCTTTTCTGTTATTCTGGAGTTCAGGACCAATCCAGGCCAGTTGGAGTTTCTCCTTCTGTCCCTCTGCCTTTGTGAAGGGACAGCTCTAATGGCAGCCACGTGCTCTGATGAGTCATGGTTTAGAGCATCTGGGGCGCAGAGGTGGTGGCAAGTTAACTCCTCCTGATCCAGGGTGCTCCTGCCAGGAGACCAGGCAAACCTCTACCCTGTCCTGTACACCCACCTCAGGGCTAAATGCACAGTGGGTGTTTGGGGGTGTGGTTCCCCTGCCCCCCAGGGTCTGGGAATCAGGGCAGAGGCAGGAGAAAGGGGGAGGTGTGAGCCGTGGAGTCCCCGGGCCAGCTTGCCACGTATTGAGGAAGCGGCCTGAGCCTGGACCCCGAGCTTCAGTTTCCACATCTGCAAAATGGCAGGCTTGGGAGCTGTTTGAGAAGGCGGGCGTGTGCTGCCGGCTGCCAGCCGCTCTTTCCCGCCTTCTGGTCTCCAGCAAACAGTCCGTGCTGCCAGGGGACCGGGACTGAAGCCACGCCTGACTGCAGCGGTGTCTTTTCTCTGCTTGGATGACCCCCATTCAAGCCGCAGGAGCTGGGGGGCTCGGGGCGGGGCGGCGGCGGGCCGTGGGGACAGGAAAGGTGGACGTCCGGTTAGAATTGGTGGCGGTGGCTCGGAGCCGCGCGCTCGGGCGCGAGGTGTCTGCGCGGAGGCCCCGGGGACGCCGGGGTCTCACCTGCCGAGCG